TAGTTCTTCATGCAGCAAAATATTAACCCCTTCCACTTCATAAGTTTAACGCAACACTTCGTTTGGTTTAGCTAAGTCTAGACAAGGCTTCTGGCAAAAGGCTTATGCTGAAGGTTTCTTTCAGGCAGGAAGTTACATGACATCATCTCTCATCCAGCGTCTGGAGCAACTGTCTCTTGTCTGCTTCAATCTCCTGTTTATAAGGACCTTCGACTGAAATTGGCATGGAGTATGATGCAGCCTGGGGTTCTGGTGATTCCCTTAATTGCCAACAAGAGCCAATTGTTGTCTGGCTCTGGGAAATTAATTACATGTCCAATTTCATGAGTAGTAGTCACAGGATATCGATCTGCCCTAACTCTTTCCTTCTCATTTTGGTACCTAACACCAACACTTTCCAATGGGTGTGGGCAATTCATCTGCCTTCCTTAATATTTCACTTGTGCCTGCCACTTTGGCTACCCTTCAACCAGTCTGGCTCTCGATCACTTGGCCTGGCCTAACTTATGGTCATTAATTAAAATTATCATTTGAAATTTTCTGTCAGCAAAATGTTCTCGGCCTGGTTTTGCTTAAAAATCAGAAATTTACCAGGTGGTTCCTCTGGCCAGCCATTCTCCCAAACCTGCCAGCATCATTTCACTCCAAATACCCTAGGTTACACAAAGAAACTCTATTCTCAAGATTTGGTTACAAATCAAATTTTATCTCAAAAATTACCTTCACTTTGTTATTAACTGGGGCAAGAAATGGCTTGTTATTTTAAAAACAAAACTGCTCTTTTTAATCATTTTAAAGAAACATTTTGTTTCCCATTAACATGGCTGATGCTAACCTCCAGGAGAATGACTCATTGTACCTTCTCAGACTACTTTTTTCTACTGACACAAATTGGAAAGGACTATATTGAATCAATTGCTAAGTCTACTTCTAAGAAAATTGGTTCAATTACAACATTGTAAGTTTACAATTCATTTATCTAGTCTAGTGCTTCTGCTATGTATTTAGATATTCTTGACAAAATCCAAAGAAGAATCAGTCCTGACTTGGCCTCTCTGCTTCAGTCACTTTCTTATTACTGTCACATAGCTTCCCTGTGCCTTTTCTATAAATATTTTCATGGTAATTGTTCTTTGATACCTAAACTTTATGAATTTAAATACAGTACTAGATTGGATGTGCATTGGAGTGAGAACTCAGACAGCCAAGTTTGAATTCCTTAGATTCACTTACACACAAATAAGATTGGGAAAGGTATGAATCCATCCCTTCTTCCTCTCCCCTCATCTATGGGTTGAATAGCAGGACAGACTGGGTTCTTTAGCCTTGGTCGGCAACCAATCTACCACTGAAAGAAATGGCAACCTACTGCGAGGAAAAAATCAACCTCATCAGTCATGTATCAAAAGATAAATGACCACCCAAGCGTGTATCATATATGGCACTTAACTGACTGACTAGACTGGAAGCTAGGTTTCATCATTTTACCATTGAAATGTTTAGATGTAACCATATTTTCTATGTCAACAATTTCTTTTCTTACAATTCTCACTTGTAAAACTCTTTCAGCTTCTTGTTTTCTACTCAACTTTGATCTTCAAAAATTTAAATGCAATGTCAATCATTATCTTCTGTTTCCTTAATTTCTTTATTGTTAATAAAGCTATAAAACTAGAGAGAGCAAGACAAGCCATACAAATTGCACATGAAGAGACTGATGCAAAAATAACCAGTAAATGATGTATTAGTTGTTTATTTACTGAAATTGATGATATATTGTATTTTGTGAAACCAAATTATGTGGACTCAGATATTCATAAAAGTAAAATGGCAGATCAATGACAGTTAAACAGCTTCAATGATCATGATGCACTGATGGTATTAATAATTATCTTAACTGTATTTTTTCATAACATGACATCCTCCTCATGGGATTAATATGATTATATGGCTTGTGAAAATATACAGTGGTAGTTTTCTAATAAGTATCTGCTGCTAGAAGAATTTTATAAAGTCGAAATAAGAAATATGATTTCATATTTTATCTGTTCATATTTCAGAATCTCAGACTTTTCTACAGACTACAAACTTTCCGTTGATGGATTAGGTTGATGCAAAATTTCCTAGCATTATTTTTTGCATAATGTTAGAAGTGTCCTTGAATTTTATTACACCTTTTCCCTCTCATTTATGAAAAATTTAAAAGCTAGAAAAATGGGTTTGCACAAACTTACACATTGGTCAATGTTTCATGAATCCAAAACAAAGAAAACCATGACAATTACATTCAGGCTTCAATATCTCAACCTAAATGTATGCAAGAATCCATTTCCATATTTAGTGAGATGCAAAAGATTATTTATGAATTCCCTAAACTGAAACAAACTGCTACTGTGCAATGTTACAATGAACAATTAGTTTGAAAAAAAGAAAAAAAGATTTTTTCAAAAAAGACAGCAGCTGATTTTTGCAACATGGGAATGAATGTATTCAAGATTTAAACTAATCATGGAGCTAAGATGTGTTCTGCCACATGTATTCTTCAAACTTCTGTCATTTTCAGACTATTCCTTACTTTTCTTTATGCAACACTCCTTTTTTGTTTGTGGCAAAAATTCCCTTGAATAAAAATCAGAATCTTTCTTTTATGATGTAATAAACAATTTATCTGAAAGGTAGTATTGTCATAGAAAACCATAAAAATACTTTTTATTATGGATAATATTTTATGGAAAAAATTCTGAAAAGCTTTTGTGCCAACCTTGTATCAGCATTATTTTGTGAATTTTCAAATAAATACAAACATAGTTATTATGACAGATATTAAATAAATATGGACTGTTGTGACTTAATGACATATCACTTAAGATCAATTAAGTCAAAGTTTGAGAAATTAGTTAGGATGAGAACTTTTCAGCATCCTCTTGTACCCATCTTGAATAAATACTCTCTTGAGAAAATTTCAATTTATTGATTAGGTTTAACTTTAAAAAGGTTTCAATTTCAGGTTTTTTTGTTCAGTTCAATTTGAATAGGTTTCAATCTAGAAGTGATATGTTGATTCATTGCAGAAACCAATGACATAACATAAAAAAGCAAAGGACATTTTTAAAACCACAGTTTAAAAACATTCCTTCATCAATAAACAAATAAATGAGAAAACAAATTCTATCTAGAATGATAATACTTATAAAATATTCATAAGCACCTGTCTTAAGAATAACATCCATCTGGTAAAGGTGAAGTATTGAGGGATAATGATGAGGAAACACACATGTAATATTTAACAAAACAAGATAAGAAATTTATTTACAAATTTACACATTTGAAGTTGTCAGTAGCTTGTTTGAGGAAAAGGAATCAAATTGTTAAAGTTTGTAGTTTGGATGAATTGTGAAGAAGAGAAAATATTTATATTAAATCATTGAACACAAAGTAATAATCCAAAATGTTTCAAACAAATTGAGAAAATTTGTTTGCACATAAAAGTTATACAGTTGTATTCAACATGAATGAAAAGATATATTTTAAGGTACTTAGCTTTGGAGTTGAATAGAGTTCTTTGAAATTGCCCTGCTCTCATTAGAGGCTGATAATATAGTAGCATGTAATTTGACACATTTGTCTCCTTTCTGCTTTTTTTGTCTCTCTGCTTTGATTCAACTTTCTCTGCCTATTTATATCAAAAAGCGATTTTCTGTTTGTAAGCCACTCCCTTTTCCTTTGGTTAGAATAAATTTTCATATAGGCTCATTAAACTTTGCCTTGGTCTTTTCTTCAGCCCAGAACCAATCCCTTTTTCCATTAGTCAAAATAAATTTTTGTATAGGCTCATGAATTTGAAAACAGCGGAGAAAAGAGAGTTATTTTTATTTCATATTCACCACTAGGGCTCCATATCAAAAATAAAATCAAATGCTTATGATTAATTACTATTAATTGTGATTATTTACTATTAAACAAAAGTAAAATTATTCTTTAAGGAATGTCGTAATCATATGCTGTCAATTAAAAAAAACATTGGTCATTCTGATGGAATATTCCATACCTACCTGCCACCCCTCCGGGATAATGCATTTTTCACACATAATCACCTCTTAACCAATCAGCATCTTAGTTTCAGCAAACTAGGTTTTTCATTGGCTGAGACCTTAAAACTGTAGCAAGTTTGAGCAAAAATACCTTTTCCTGTGTACTGCTTTTGGAGCCAATTCTGAGACCACAAACTCAATAAATAAAAGCGTTTTGATTCGATTCAGACTGGAGAGATGCTAAACAAATCCACGCTAGCCAAAACTTTGACCTAACTATACTTTTCACATGCTAATTCTTCTGACTCGACAAACAGCACTTCGCCCTCATAACATTACTTACAACATACTAAATAAAGTGAATTGACCCACTACTAAACAGGATTTGTAAATCTCAATCCAACATCCAAGACAACAGCTAAAGGTACACAACTCTTACAAACTTTGAACAGTAACTTTAACAAATGCACACATACACACTAGTGACTGAACTCCCACAAAAGATATTTTGTAATACGATAAAACATCTTGTTTAATTTCATACACAAATCCTAACCACAAGCCTACACACATTGAAACTCAGCATAATCCTTCTACATATTTTATTACAACTGGTCACACTTGATCAGCAATATCTATCTTGATTGTGTATGTTCAGTTGATATAAAATGAATGTTATTTGTTAAACCTTTAATCAGGTTGTCCTCATTTTTGATTCCACCTGAATGATTTTACCTTCAATGTTCTTATTTTTATATTTGTTGTGGGTGAATGTCTTGTGAACACCTACATTTCTAAGCCTTCTGATAACCTAACCTTCTGATACACAAAATACATTCGCCAATATGCAACAATTCTGAATAAGTTTATTTGCTATTTTCTCCAACTCTCTTACTGTCCTCTTTATATTATTTAAAAATATTTTTATATTCATGAATGTTAAAATATGATCCATACATTTGTGTTTAGGTTCACAGAGTTCAAGCCATTGATGGTACAATTGGGCGCAGCCAGAGAATTCATTTACAGCTATGGGATACAGCTGGACAAGAAAGGTATAGCATAGTTCTATATCTCTAAATGCAGTCAATTGAATCTTTGTTTACTATAACATTGGCATATATCTACTTTTGTAATTTTGATAAATTTGATATGCTTATCTGACTAAAGATTAATTTTTGGAAAACCTGACTTTTTATCATCCAAATGACAACATCCTTCTTTGAAACAAGATTTAAACATGTGGTAAATATATTTTGAAATAAGTTAAAAATGGACAAAGTTAATTAAAAAGGTAGAAAGATATTAAATATTGATTACTTTGGGATGAAATGAGATTTTTTTAACTTTATATACTTTCTAGTAACAATGAGAAAAAATTATTAAACTTTAATCTGTTTTGTATTTCACTAAAAATTAACTATAAAAAGTGTATGAAGCAAAATGTAAGCTATGTTTTTGTTAGTATACATTTTAGTGATACTGCTAATATGCCTTATCTTACTAAACTAATTCACTAAACTGTTCAGCCATGTTTTGTGGTAGAAGTAGTTATAATAGTGTTTAAGTGCATATCTTTGCTTATATTTCCTATTCTTTATTCAACTGTGACCTGCAGGATTTATAAATAAAACTGAAACAGTTTATTTTTAATATTAATCTAAAAGATAACCAGTATGACTTAAAATTTGATGCATGATACTTCTAAAAATAATTAAAATAATAACATGATCAAAATGTTGATTCCATAGAGTTTTTTTTTTAATAATTTCTTTTAATATTTATCTTTCTTGAGAATAAAAAATACTTCAGTATATTATTAAATCTAATGACAACTGTTCAAAATTTTCTATATTTCCACTTTTAAGTTGTATGTCATTGAATATTGAACAAAAAGAAAATATAATTATCATCTGGAATTGCATTATTGTTGAAATAAATAAGTTTATTATTTACACTAGTTCTCATTGTTGTTTTTGTTATCACAATGTTTCAACATTTGTGCCCTCCAGCCTTAATCAAGCGTCTATCAATCTGGATAACCTACAGGCAATTTTGAACTGAACCCTACAGATTAAATTTATTTAATCTATAGGGAAACTTGTCATCCCACTTCCCAGATCTAGTGATATATCATCTAGTTCTTAGCATTGTTTGCTCCATTTTCAGCAAATCCAAGTACATACTGTCCAGCCCAAGGATTGAATTCAGAATTACTGTGTTACCAAATTCACAAACCAATGCTTTAATACTCTAGATTATTATCCATAGGACAATTCCCTGTGGAGAACTTGGATCCTTAAGCTTAACCTGCCTGCCTGCTGCTGTGCTGTTGTTGATAACGCTTGACTACATTCACTGATGCTTTTCACTTTTAATACAGCTGTTGAAGACTTGCTGTTATTTGTGTTTTGCTTTATTAGCGGCACCCATATCATATTTCTTTCTATGCTAGAAAGTATCTTCATTTGTTAACTTTTAGTGAATGTGTGCACATAACCATTCTCTTTTGATTTGTTATAGGTTTAGAAGTTTGACAACTGCCTTCTTCAGAGATGCAATGGGATTTTTACTGCTTTTTGACCTGACTAATGAACAATCATTCCTAAACACTCGTAACTGGCTGACACAGCTACAAATGCATGCATACTGTGACAACCCAGACATTGTTCTTATTGGAAATAAAGCTGACCTGGAAGACAAAAGGAAAGTTAGTGAAGAGCAAATACAAGACTTTACAGAAAAATACAAGTAATCATCTTTTGATTTATTTTATGGCATTTTTTTATTTTTATCATATTATTTTATAGCTCTTTTATTTTTATCTTATTTTAGTTGAATCCTTGAAAATAATTCAACGTAGATCCACATACTGGCTTATTTGATTTTACAGAAGAACTGTTCACTTTGTTTATACATTTTTTTCTATCATCAAACTTAAGAAATTTGTATAAGATTATATGAGTGCCAATCTCAAGAAATGGATATATATAGGGAAAATCTTTAGATTCAGAGTAACCAACAAGTTATATAGTGCTTCTAGTTGAGTACTATAATGTATTATAGACATTAGTGATAAATTATGTAGTTGTTTGATAAATTATGTAGTTGCCACATAGAATTGAGGCTGTTCCATGATCAAAAACAGATCTTCAAAGGATAAAAATATGTAAAAAAAAATGAATACTCTTTTTAAGTTATAGGATTTTACAAGTTAGCATTAGTAAATATGCAGTTAAGTAATTAACAGATAGTTTGGGGTATATATATATATGTTGATTTTTGTGTGTAACAATTGAGGGGCAGTATACAAAATAACAATGACCCACTTGGTGCCATGCTAACTTGATCCCATTGACACGTACTAATATCACTATCAAAGAGGGTTTGTGTGTGTGTATATATATATATATATATATATATATATATATATATATAATATGCCACATATATCTTCAAAAATGCTTTGTTCATTTTTAGAAATTCATTTTAAACTTGATAGCAATTAAAAGCTTATACAATTAAATAATTAGATAGTTTTAATGCAGTTTTTATGTTACAATTAGGAGCATATCTTGTGGAATTTGGTAATATAGCTTGAGAACAAAAATCAAAAAAATTCTGATGGTAGGACAAGAAACAAGCAGACTCTGAAATTACACATTGAATCTACAGACTGTCAAGGATTACTCAGACCTTCCAAAGTTTACGCAAAAAATATTGTGTTTTGGGAATTTTTGCAGTAAACATAATTTTGGTTGTAAATATGTAACATTTATGAGGATAATATACAGATATCTTTCCTGAGGTGCTTATAGATTGTACATTGTTCAATTATTAACGTTAACAACAAACTATTTTAAATTACAAAATTGCACTTAGATTAAACAAAAATTATTTATAATGTAATGCATATTACTTATAATATATTCATTCTTGCCATTAATTTTGATGGTACTCCCAAATGTGTTTCCCAACACCCCAATAGAAGAAATGTTTCTCAAGTTTTTGAAAGTTGTCAACAGTTCATCTCCATCACCATATTGTTCCATCAGCCTCTTTAGTGCCATTAGCAATTTTTTTAAGGCTGCCATCAACAAGGCAATAGTTGATCATCTCACCAGAAATAACCTGAGTGACAAACAGTATGATTTCACTCATCTAAGTCAACTGCAGATGTTTTAACTCTTCACTCGCAGAATCAGGGAGGCACTCCACTCAATGGTAACTTTGTTACAAGTGATTGCTTTAAAAATCTCAAAGGCTTCACAAATTCCTCAGCTATAGCATCTCTGAAAAAGTTTACAATCTTCAAATCCTATCTCTCAGGTAGGTTCATGATGGTTGTTATGAATGGCAAATCTTCTGAAGCTCACACAATCAATGAAGGCATCCCTCAAGGTTCTCTTTGGTTCTACTCTTTGGTTCTGCTTATTATTAACAATCTACCTAGAAACCTTCTCAAATCACTAGTAAATATTTATTATGCAAATGATACCACTGTTTAGGAATGTACTTCCAAAATTAAGCTGATCAGAGCTTAGCAGCCAATCTCTCCTCTGCCCTAGCAGTTCAATGGGTGAATAACAGGCTTGTTACCTTCTATAGCTCAAAACCCAAACTAGTATCATTTTATGATCACTAGTTAGACTTTTCTCAATAAGGTTTCATGCTTTGAATGTCTATTGGGTCTCAAGTTCACTCCAAACCAGAAGTGGAACCCCTATATACAAACCATTGCCAAATAGGCTGGAAAAATTCACTCCAGGAAGTAACTCTCTGTAATATTTGATCTTTACAATTGTCAGATTAGACCAAAATAAAGTAGTGCTTGCAATATCTTGGCTAGAGCTGCTCAATCCTCACTTTCCAGTCTTGATAATTCAAAATATTCATGCTGTCTTGTGGAAGACTTATTTTCACCTCTTTCTCATGCACCCAACATTGCAAGCCTATCATTACACTATTACTAAAAATAGCAACAGAGTAACAATAGGCTTGCAATTGCTTTAATGAGCTATCTTCTTTAATTCCACCAGTTCATACCTTTACAGCTATAATGCACCATGCTAGTACCACAGACTTGAATCACCCTTATTTCTTCCATGTTCCAAATATAAAAAGGAAGTTCAACTCATCCCCCTCCCAAAGAACTACCACTTTTTGGAACAGACCCTCACATAGGTGTTTTCTTGAACAGTTCCATCTTTACCTCTTCAAGTCAAAGGTCAATGCTTATCTACCTTCCTTAGTCTCCACTTCCTACTACCACTTTTCCATTCATAACAGACACCTCATTCATAATTACTATTTCAACTATAAGCTGCTATCAATCCTTGTTTTGGGTGAAATTTAGTTTAAAAGTACCAAGGAACAATCACATTGACTTGGTGAGGTCATGGAAATATAACAATAGAGATTGGGTCAAGAAAGGATGAAAATTTGGAATGAAAAAGAAGAAAAGCAGGTGGGAAACAAAGAGAAAGAAAAGTAGATTCAGAAAGAAACAATATGGGACAGCTTTGAGTAATATTTAGAATTAGGGTTAATGAAATTGGAAGCAAAGAAATAGAGACTAGAAAAAATTTCACATGATTCATTTCTGATGTAGAAGATTATTTAATGCCTATTGTTACAAACCCTCATCTAATTTTATTCTAAATTCAACATTAAAGTTTATATTTTAGAAGTACTTTGAATATAAGGAGCCAGTACTTTCAGAAAGTGTGAAAATGAAAAAAAAATAAAGTGAAATTAACAACAGTTTTTGATCAAATTGCATACATCCGAGCAAAGATTATACATCCTATCTTATGTACCTTGGTCACATGATAGCGGGATAATTGGACCGGTTACTATCCAGATATTAAGGTAACCTCTCTGAAATATGGCAAAAAAAGGAAAAGGGTCAGTATTTCAGAGAGTTCAATGTTGTTCACCCATACATGTAAAAATCCATATTTGGAAGTTATGGGTCATGTGCCAAAACCAAGGCACGAAAATAAAGACCACCAACAAGTCAGTCCCTCTTCATAATTCAAACTGAATTGATGTCCAGCTAAACTTGCTATGATTTTGCTTGGATGTGCAGAATTGATAGAAATCTATTAAGTTTTCTGAGCTTAAAAGATTCAGTAAAGTATTGATTCAGAGAAATCAAACTCCACCATGCTAAAAGAAACAAAAAAAATCAAAGATACATTATCCTGAGAGCCAAGGAAAAGAAAGATTCAACTTATTCTTCACTCAACCCCTAGACAAGTCAAAAAAGAAAAAGAAAGAAGGGAAACCAAAAAGAAATCCATTTCACAGATAAACTTTCTATCCAGCAAAGAGAAGAGAAAAGATAAAAAGAAATATAAAAGAAAAGAGAAACATATAAGAGACACTAAAAGAAAAGAAACAGAAAAAGAAAGACTTTTTCAAATAACAGAGTCCTTTGTTTATATTGCTTGTTCTCTCTTTGCTCATTTTGCCTTTTTGTCATTTGTAATTTCATGCAAGTTTGGCACGGGGTCATTTGTCAATATAATATTTACATTTCTGAAAAGATAAGTCCCCCACCATTGTTTTGTCCTGTAATATTTATTTTTGTCTCATTATTTTGTTTTGCCCCATCTTTCATCTTTTAATATACCCCAACATATTTAATCCCCATTTGTATGTTTTAGTAATAAAATGGTTACTTGTTATCCCTATATGTTTGCCTTCTGTTGTTTGTCACCTACTGTGTTTGTTCATTAATTGAGCTTGGCTGTGTTTGATCAATCAGGAAAGGACCATTGGTAAAAGAATTTGTGATTCTATATTGTATATTACTGTGCCTCCTACTACTACCATGAAAGTAAAAGAGAGTGGTACATAATACTATATATGAGGAATTTTATATCCTAAAATAGGTTCATATAAATAAGGCCAGGTGTTAGATGGAAATTGGAATGTTTTGTAGTTTTCATTTAAAATTACAATAGAAACAAGTTGATGCTTCCTCAAATCCAGTCAGTGCTCTGTCAAATCCCTGGCTTCAGTTGTAATATTAAATCAACAAATATTCAACAGTAGTACACAAAAAAGAGGCAACAATAATCATTAGTGTTTGAGGAAAACAACACATATTTCATATCATGGCATGTTCAAAAGTTTGTATCATATGGAAATCCCAAGTTTCCTCTTTCTGGAATTGCTTGTAATGTGTTGCCATAAATAGGTAATTATGATGATTGATAATTTCTATAACATCTTCCCTGGTGGAAACCAGAAAAACAAAGCATATTGACAAAGGCACAATTAGTAATCCGGCCATGTGTTTCAAATGGGGAGTGGGTTGTTAAAAATAATTACTACAAGTGATTATTGGAACAGCTAAAAAAGAAGTATTACTATAGTTGGCTATGAGGTCAGCTAAAATTGTGATAATAGCTGAGCTGCTATTATAAACATGGAGTGTGGCTGGTGAGGACAAAAGCAATGAAGTGAACTTATTTTCATGATAAAATATTGAATAGAACTTGAAAAATAGTAGATGATATTGGAAAACAACTTATGTTTTCATATTAGCATTATAAAGACAAAATATGATCCAGAATGAAAATGAGAAAATGATCTTGACAATAAAATTAATTTTCATTTAAATGAATGAAAATATTATACAAATATTATGCACATAGGTTGTAATAGTTATTATAGGATAAATAGTAACAAGACAATGTAGTGATTGTGTAAGGAATGTTTGTGCTTTTGAATTATTATTATTTTACAGAGATATTCAGCAGATGGGTAACTTAGTTAAAATCTAATTTCTACATAATTTCAGTTAAAGTAAAAATCAAGTATTCAGCTGCTTAATATAAATCACATTTTGTCCCACTAATCTAGGTTTCGTTCTTGTGAAATAAAATTATTTTTCTGATGAAAATTTTTTCAAAATAGAATTTTTTTCTATATAGTACAGGCTTCGAGTACAAACCCATACATCCGGAGGGGCAATTTGTTACATATACCAGAGCATGCATACATACATGAAATTTCAGAAAAGAAATCTTGGACCTGTCAGAATTACTTATGAGTGTGTATTTTGCAGATCAGAAAATACATACCCCAAAATCTAATAAAATGGGTGTAAAACCTCAAACATCAGATCAACCAAACCAAATTGGGCTTATATTGTTCTGGAATGTGTTAAAGTACGATGTCCATGATATCATAAAGATATATTAAAGTGCAAAAATAAAAAGTACACATTTTTGCATATTGGAGGGTACTTTACACACCAGATTTAAGAAAAACTTTCGTCATTTCTGCTGTCCTCTTCGATTTTATGTGCATAATTAATCAGATTTTATATTTTTTGTTGTAATGTGTCTAATTTGACTTGCATTCTATTTTTTGAATAAAGCTTTAAAAAAAACAATGCTCTATATGTACAAGACATATATATGTATAAGATGATACTTATGTGATGGCTCAATTCTCTGGTCTTGTAATAGTGAAGGAATTTCATTATCATCATTCTTGCCAAAAAGACTTATCCAGGCTAATCACAAGAAAGAAATCCCTAAATGAAATTGAAAAAGCCAATAAGAAGATGACGAGCAGAAATCAAGGGACCAGGAAACAAGAGATGAGTGCTTTCAACATGTTATTGAGTTCGTGAAGGATCATGTTGTTAAGAATGGTCAAGTAGTGAATACAGGGATGCAAGTTGAGCCAACTTGCATCCCTGTATTCAGAGATGTTAGTAGAAAGAGGTATCAGGGATCATGTTTCTATGAATGCTTCTTCTTGTACAAAGATCAGACTTCAAAATTACTTCAGGGATGAAATAGCTTTCTTCCAAAAGAAACCAGGATTGCCAATGTTTGTGTACAGTCATAAAGTGCCAATATAAGAACATTCTGAATTGAGCAGCTTTATGTTTCTCACAACAGAACAAAAAGTGTGCAAAATTGCAAAAGTTATCAAGGAAGAGATCATCAATGCAGTCAGCCAATTTTCGACTTGGCCTCCTTTCCAAGAAGTGAAAAAAGAAAGAGTGCAGATACCCAATATGCTGAAAAACTTTTTGCAAACTCTGTCGGCCAAAGACAACAATGCCTCCAAATGAACGAAATAACCAGCCAAGTTATCTTGTTTAGCACTTCTCACAGATGAATCAGAACAGTTAAACATCTGCAACTTGGTCTGATAACAAATCGTAAGACAGGTTCAAGAGAAATGGTGACCTATCTGAACACTTAGACATGCAATGCCCTATATTGAAGTCAACAGATTTGAAATGTCTATGGCTGAGGCAGAATTGCAACTTCAATGCTTGTGTGGTTTTGTACCTAACTTGGTTGTACCTTCCACATTCATAACCTTTGTGTTTAATAATTGTGACCACAACCCAGAGAATTTAGGCAGTGCATCCATACATTGCACCAATGGAATTATAATTCAGAAGCAAGATAATCAAATTTGTCTCGTTAATCAGTCAAATTTGGGTGAATCTGCATTGACAGGATATTCACAGCATACTTCTTTCCAACCCATTCTAAGTGAGACAAAACCTTACTATCATCCTAAAGAGTGACCTACTCCATCTGAGTTTGAGACAAACATCAGCGAACTACATGATACAATATCAAAAAGGGATGACACGATCTGGCTTTTCTGCTGCAAAAGTGCAAAAGAGGATTCCTCAGTGCAAGTTGTCCCAAGCTGGTCAGGGTTCTTCTGTGAAACAGAACCAGATTATCAAAGAGCTTCATAAAGTGTTCTACTTGCCCACAATTAATGATTCTCCAACAAAATTTTCAACTGTTCTTGAGGTTCTCAGCCAGGTTAAAGAAAAAGCAGAAAATATTGGACTAACTAGCTCAGATTTAGTTCTGAATCGAGCAATCTACACAAAGGCTTTAGAGATTCTCAAAAATCCCCTGAATGCAGACCTCAAAAACTTCATTAATTTACAAATGGGAGGATTGCATTTTCATGTTAGTGGTTGGCAAACAGCAAGTCTGAGAGATATCATCATAAAATCTTGCTTGGTCAAGTCACATTCCAATGACAGTGTTCTGAAAGGCAAAATATTACAATTGCGGAATGAGAGTGTTTAAAACCATCTACAAGGCATTAATGAGATTGAAAATAGATTCATTTTCTCAATGGATGCACAACAATAGTGAGTCCCTCACTTTGAATGAATTTCTTGAATCAGTAGAGATAAAATCTCTTGAGCAGAGGAGCCTGAACAACATTTCATCTGGAGTGGCTGCTAGTAAGGAAACTTGTGTTGACTTACTGCAAGCAAAAGAAATTGGAAAGAGCTGTTTGAAATCTTTTGTTGAGATGTGACTTATTAGAGGCACCCAGAAGAATAAGCCCCTCAAGAAGAACAAATTGTCTACTTTTGATGAAATGATCATCAAAAAGAAGTTGAGAACAAATGAAGGTTTGATTACATTGGAATACCTTTGCACGATTGCACAAAAGAGAAGAAGCATTGATATTGAAGAGGTGTTAAAGTTCGAGCTTTCACTATATCATCTGTCACTGTGCCACCCTGATGATACCATCACAAAAACTGAAGTCAAAGCTGTCTTGTCTTGCAGAGAAAATACCTCAGCTGGCAAGCATACTGCAAAACACTCCAAGTATTTTTGATGATATGGTGCTATTTCACAAGCTGCCAAAAACAATTGAGACTTTTGGTGAAATCTCCCACTATGTAATTTGAAAGATGCTGAATGGAAGTTGCAGGGTTGCCTTTATTCCAACCGATCACTATCTCCCTGATTCCATGATCCAGACTAATTTGCTACTGGATTTTAGTTCAGGATCCAAAGAAGTGATCTACGATATTGACAGTGCTGACATATCAGCTGAATTGGCCAAAGCTCTACCAGCTCTTCACGCACTATCAAATTGTAATTCTACAAGTAGCTTCAGTGTCATAGAGAAGAAGAAATGCCTTCAAGTACTAAAGTCCGACCAATACTTTATTGAGGCTGCATGCTTACTTAGAGTACAGCCATCCCAAATGTTGTGCTGGAAATCATAGAATATGTATGTTTTCTATATGGGATAACAAACAAGACATGTTGATGTCTCAAATTACAAGCTTTTCGCCAACAGAAGGAAATTTCCTGATCCTGATAAACTGCCTCCAACGAAGGATGCCTTGCATCAACACATCAAACGAGCATATTACCAAGTGCTCAAATGGAAACAGGCCCTGGACTGATCCAAATGTCAATAGATGGAGAGCATCTGGTGACAGTAACCTACAGATTGAATGGGGATTGAAGAAGCCAGCACCCAACTCAACCTTGGTGTTTGCTTTTGTGGTTTCAAAGAAACAGATGCACTGGTAGAGCTTGTGGCTGCTTCAAGCTGAGTCTTCCTTGCAGTAATCTTTGTGAAAAACTACAAAAACATTGTCAATGAGGATGTCAATGATATTAGCCTTTATGACAGTCACTCACAAGCCGTAGATGACACTTTTGGCAATGATACAAAGAATTAGGATTGTAATGATATTAGTTCATGAAAAACATTTGTTCTGCGTGTACCTCTGTGATATACTCTCTTACATTCAAGTCTGCATACTTTGTTCAGTAAAATACAACCTAACAAGTATTTGTTACAGGTATATACATCATTGTTTTTTGAAGCTTTGTTCAAATATTAAGTCAAATTAAATCTGGTCTGTAAAGTGCCCTCCAATATGCAAAAAAGTTTACATTTTATTTTTTCACTTTAATATATCTTTATCATACCATAAACATTGTATTTTAACACATTTCAGGACAATATAAGCTCAATTTGCTTCAGTTGATCTGATGTTTAAGGTTTACACTCATTTTATTAGATTTTTGGGTATGTGTCTTCTGGTCTGCAAAATACACACTCATAAGTAATTCTGACAGGTCCAAGATTTCTTTTCTGAAACTTCATGTATGTATGCATGCTCTGGTATATGCAACAAATTGCCCCTCCAGATGTATGGGTTAACAAATGGAGCCTGTATTCATACTGTCATGTATATTTAACATATAAATATATAATGTATATATTCAAAAAGTTTGTTCGTTTATCTTTTATTTGATTTGTGGTGAAAATTATTTTCCACTAATTAGTAAAGTAGAAATTATTTTTTTCAAATCTATATTAGCTTGTGTTCATTTTTATGATAAATTTTGGAAATAAGAAAATACTGACAAACTCATTTAATAAAAAATAATGCTTGTCTAATGCAAGTAATCTAAACTTTTGCATTTGATCTTGTCCATCAATTTTTGTTATAATTGAAAATCTATCTTCTACTCACATTTGCTAGGTAAGTCTCTGCTTCATGGAGAAGGTCTTATATCAACAATGCCACACACACACATATACTGCCATTCCTTAGTAGATTGTTTTCAAATTTTTTAATTTTTTTTTTTTACTCTTATTAACAATAATGGTTATATTTTCTCTGAGAAATCTGCAAACATGTACACAAATGAACCATTTTTTCTATTAGGCATGTTTCCAGCTTCCCTTTTTTAACCATAGACTGGAGAAATTGCTTTCTCCCCCTATTTTTTTTCCTGAAATAAAATCACTGAAAATTTATGCAGATACTATATATAAAAATAATAATTTTCCAAGTCATTGTCTAACATAACATGTTATGTTTAATTTTATTTTTTTCAGCCTGGTCTATTTTGAAGCAAGTGCTGCCACTGGCCAAGGCGTAGCTAAGGCTGTTGAGTACCTTCTAGACAAAGTGATGATAAGTATGGAACAGTGTGTGGACAAAGGAAAACTTTCCAGAAAGATGGGCCGTTTTGTTGGAAATAAACTAAATGTCACTGAAATTGATTCTTTGGATAATAGATCTAACTGGTGTGGCTGTTAGCTTTGCTGAAGATTAACACCATCTTTGTTGTAGATTAACACCATCTTTGTTGTTAATATTCCTCCTGCCTCTTACTTGCTTTTTCATCTTTGATTATTTGTTATATATATGCCTATTTCTTATTCTTCAGAGAAATAACTTGTTAGTGCTATTGCTACATAGCAGATATAAGTGAACTCATATCTGCTATGCAGTACTTTGGTACTATTGTTATTATTAAAAAGAATGTACTAAAAACTAAAATACAATTTTTATAATCCTATCAAGCACTATGAGACAATGTTAACTATTTTTTGTTATGTGATACAAATAATATATCGCCATTTGATGCCATAAAATGTCTTCTAAACTACAGTAAAGTCAGATATGATGTTATAGCAAAAACATCTATTTTGTTGGGTACTCTGAAGTACTTTATACTCATCTTTTTTGATTCCATCCTACTGATTCTTTCACAATTACTCATAATTCTTTAACTATATGTGATACCCTACCATAATATGGTGCTATTTAGTATTTTGCTACATGAGTTCATGCAATGTGATACTGTATTGATGTTTTATTGCATACTACAAAAAAATTAGAACCTATGTAGTATCAAACATATCTTTCCTTCCAAATGATTGACTAGATCTTTGCTTCTCCTCTCACAAGAGATGAAAACTCACAACTGATGAAATGCCATGTACTGTCCAATTCATCTCAATGACTTGTGTTCATAGACTCTATTAAAAAAGATTTTTCATTTTCTTTTATTTTTAAAAAGAGAATTTATTATGGAAATTGGTGAAAAATTCCATTAGCTTTAGTGAAAGGGACAAGTTTAATATTGTATTTAAAAAGATAATTTTTTGTTGTTTTTCTTTTAATTCTTTTTATAATTCAGATCTATGGAGATAAAAATGAACCAAATTACATTTCTTAATTGAGTAATAAAAGTATCTCTATTATGTACTCACAAATATAATTAAAAATAGAATGAATAATGTATGCGACTATAAGTTTTACTGATTTTCTAAATTACTATAAGTAATTTGGAAAATGATCACTATTTAAATTGGCAAGATAGAAAACTAATTAAGACCTTTAATTTTTTGTTCATTCCTAATACACTTCATTAACAATCATATAATATTTATAAATTAAGCAGAAATGTGTCATTAAATTCATTAGTATATAAAATTTCACCTTAAAAATGTGTTGTGGTATTAATTTATTCATAAACCCAGAAGTGAAAACTCAAGCCATAAAAGTTATATGCTTCAAACATATCATAAATTTACTGAAAGACATGTTGATGAGATCTATGGTTACAATAGACAGTAATGATTTAAGTTCCAATGATTTTTTTAAATATACTCGCTCAGTATTTAAATTTATATTTAAATCTCCCAGTGCCACACAAGTTGATCAGTTTTTGTAGTTTTTGATTATCACTATCTTCTCTTTTCCAACACCATATTTCCCTAAATATTTTCAACAAATTTAATTCACAAGAAAGAATAAGGTATGGAAAACTTTAAGAGAAGAGAGATGTAAATGTGATAAAGTTCTAGCTTTAGATAAATATATATTTTAATAAATAAGTCATAATCAAATTTCAGATCATCAAGAGGTTAAATTGTTTTTATATTTTTGACAAACATTATTTCTCTAATATTTGAGGTGGTGCTGAAAATTTTTCAACCTGACCCACTTCCTAAAATCACCATTTTAACTACCAAACATCAGTATACTGAGTTTGGGAAAGGAATCATGTTGGAATTTAGTAAAATATTTACATTAGTATTTTTATGAAAGTATTTTCTAAAGATTAGTGTTTCTACTATTTTTAAAGCAACTCACACCTTTGTTTGGCAAATCTAATTAATTCATTATTCCAATCAAGCAAGCCCTTGATTAGCAAATTGCTTAGAGCACTTGATTAGAAAGATGGAAATATAAGCAATCTTTTTACTGTTCTGACTTTAAATGATCAGTTTAATTTAACCTTATGCTGGTGAAATAACTTCTGACTGGGAGCAAATATTTTTTATTGAGAAAACTAATAGAATTTAACCAACATAATTAGAAATGCATCAAATAATTAACAAAAATTCATAAATATTGACATGACTAGTATGTAAAATAATTTATGTATATTTGCACACAAATCCATGCTTACTCACATATATATCTATATATTGTAATTTTTGCTACTAATATTTTCACCTTATAAACTGAAAATACTTTATGCTAGACAACTTTTTTCTTTTTGTCAAATAAAAAATAACAAAATCACAAATATTTCAAAATTATATTTGGTATACATTATTACTTTCAGTTTGAGATATTCAAACAAAAAGCTTAAGACATATTTTAACCATTTGCTTTATACACTCACTGGAGATTATAAAGAATAAAGGCAATAAATTTGTACTGTTGAAAGGAATTTTAAATGTTTTCTTTTAATTATTTTCTGTATAATTTCCAATATATTTTATGCTTTTATTAAAATTATTGTTTTATTGTTGGCTTTGCATAATAAATATTCTACAATGCTGGTATTTCATCCATACTAATATTCTAACCAACAATATTTTCTTCCTACCTACACACCAATGTCCACAACTATGTATCATCTTTTACATATTTTGTGCCAGTTTTTGACTACATATATATCACTGAATCTTTTAATATCACATTTATGATTTGAAAATACTGATCTATTTATTATTATTTGCTGAAATCCTATCTTAAAAATTTATAATTATTTCTTGAAGTTATTAGAATTTATTTTCTTTATTCACTAGAAAGTTAAAAATTAAAACATTTTAATTTTCTCTAAATTATATATTGATTTACTCAGTCTAGTATTCTTCTTCAGATGTCTGTCATAGAAACCTGAGAATTTAAAAACAAATCTTTTATTCAGTTCATGTGATAGTTCTTTCTTAATCCAAAATCAACACCATATAGAAGCCTTTAAGAATAAACATTAGACTTAAAAATTCTATTACTTAAATACAATAGAGGTATTTTAAGTTATATACTCTAGTTCAGTTGAAGAGGTAGATTAAATAAGCTACACACTAACACCACTGAAATGTCCTCCAATATTCATGGCCATATGAATAAAAGCATTGGTTAAACAGATCTGGTTACATTACCATTATGAGTTCACTCTTTGTGACAGGTCATTTAAAGTTATATATACTCTGGTTCACTGAAAGAAACACACACACACACACACACACACACATATATATATATATATATATATATATATATATATATATATATATATCACATAAACATGATACCTAAGGTTTAAAATGATTTTTAGAAATGAAAAATCTTTCTTGAAGCTTTTATTTTAGTTTTAATTTCAAGCTAATAGATTTAGTTTAATATTTTCAATAAGCAAAATACTTTTTCTGTATTTCAAGACTAATTCAAATTGACTGGAAAGAGTTTTTGTTTTGAAATTGCTACAATAGCTGATTTTAGTGCCATTTTTAGCTATCTTTCATCACAATGTAATTCTCTTTATTAAAAAATCTTTCAAAAATAAAATATGCTTTTCTGAAATATTTTTTGTCAGAGAGTAGGTAAAGTGCTTAACAACTTCAACATTGATTAAAGCTGCAAATACTTTGCCGAAAAGTGGTAGGAGAGTAATAGGGCGATTGTTAGAGGGGTCAGAATGTTCTCCAGAGTTCTTAAAAACAGGAACTACAGAGGATAACTTCCAACAAACTGGAAAGCAGGAAACAGCAAGGCAATAGTTGTAGAGTTTGGAGAGGACTGGAACCAGCCCAAAGTCACATTTTTTTAGAATGATGGCTGGAAGACCGTCACCTCCACTTGCCTTACGGGAGTCTACTTTAGAAATGATGTCTGAGACAAGTGACACGGTTATGTGCATATCACTTAGTAGGATCTCTGTCCTATTGGGGAAATCAAGTGTGAGTACTCCAAAGGAGTTGAGTGTTGAATTGAAAGGGAATTTCTGTGCAAAACAAATTTCCTTGTCTGCTGTAGATGCCAGGACTTAGAATTGATTGAATAGAGAAGGGATTGAGGATCTGCTGTTGTTCAACACACTCTTGCCGAGTATAATAATCTCTAGAATTGAACTTGCAAGATGCTATACATTGTTTCATTCTATCAGCAAACAGTAACTTCACTTCTTTAAGGATACGATAGTACTTGTTATGAGCAGAAATAAAGAGATATCTGTTACAATTGGACATGTCTGGTATAGCCGGAAGAAGTGACTCCTGTGGGCTATAGCGGCCAAGCATGCAGGTGAGAACCAAGGAGATGAATGTGGTTTAACTTGGTATTTCCTTGTTGGAATGAAAGCATCAATGTCGGCTTTCACCCAGAAGGAGACACACATTTTTGGATAAGATGATTAAAAACTTTATTTCAAGGGATGTCATGAAGGAAATCACAGAATGAGTTCCAATCTGCTTGTTGATAACAGAAAGATATTCTGTTGGTAGGAGGTTCTTGGCTGGTCGGGGAGTGGAAGATGTTTACAGACACAAGTGCATGATCAGAGTTGCCAAGAAAGCAACACTGCATAGTATGACAAAAGTCAGGGATAGAGGTAAAAAAGAGATTGAGAAGTATGTCTGTCAGAGTTACTGGAGAAATGCATGTGGAAGTCAACCACTTACATGAGAGATTGAGTGATTGAGAAGTTAAGGGTTTCGATGCCAGCGAGGTCAGTGACAGTTTTTAAGCCACTTGGCATGGTGGGCATTAAAGTCACCAAGCACAAATATATTTGCAAACAAGTGAATGGAGATGGCCTTATGTTATCAGAAATAATATCTACCAGGCAGCGGTCTTGAGAGAAAGGGGAATGGTAGAGAAATAAAGAGATAACTGAGTTAAAAGAGACAGAGACACATGTGAGAATGGTGTGAAGATTCAAGAGAGAGTTCCCTAGCCAGCAGGAGATGTTTACGGATATAAACTCCCAGGCCATGTATGTAGATATTAGAGTC